AGGGGGTTAGCCCTGGCCAGCATGACTCAGTGGTGGGAGTGTCAGACCCAATTACCCTCCAAAAGGGCCTTGGTTTCATTCCTGTTCAGGGAAATTTCTTGGGTTACAGGTTCAGTCCAGGCCCTGTCTAGGCACCAGCAGGAGACAACCAATAAATGTCTCTCCCTGGCACAGATGTTTCTCTCCCACAATCTCTGTCTCTCTCTCTGTCTCTCTCCCTTCCTCTCCTTTTTTATGGAAAATCAATAGAGAAAATATCCTTGGGTGAACATTGAATTTACAAAATAGTAAGAGATTTTAAAAATTCAGGAGTTAAGGCTGTTCTATCAAGTTGGAGGATCCAGGAAGTGGACTCTCTGGTTCTGCTCATTGAACTCTTTATGGGGCTGTGTCATAAACATTCTGGTTTATTTACACTTTCTAATGTGATCAAGTGACTAACTTCTCATTGAATATCAAAGCCCACTTTTTTTTTTTTAAATATATTTTATTGATTTTTTACAGAGAGTAAGGGAGAGAGATAGAGAGTTAGAAACATCGATGAGAGAGAAACATCTATCAGCTGCCGCCTGCACATCTCCTACTGGGGATGAGCCCGCAACCCAGGTACATGCCCTTGACCGGAATCGAACCTGGGACCTTTCAGTCCGCAGGCTGACGCTCTATCCACTGAGCCAAACCGGTTTCGGCGAAAGCCCACTTTTTTAATAATCATGTTGGCATCTCAATGTTCTCCTGGTGAGTACATTTTCCCATCCTGAATAGAGCATTTCTCATATCCTAGAAAATGCATATAAGTTCTGGTGCTATCCAGGAACAAAATTAATTGTTCCATTTTGTTTAGAATCTTTGAATCAAAATAGAGAAGAGTGTGTGTGCCCCTTTAAGATTATGTTGATGGATATTTAAAAATCCCTATATTGTAAAAGGTAAGAAACTCTATAGTGGATTTGAATAGCCACTGCATACTGGGGAAGGGAAATTCATCCTGTTTCCCACCTCTAGAGCTGAAGTACTTGAAGAATCCTTGTCTGTTTTAAAGGTCATATTTTCTAATGGAATTTGTTAGAATAATCTCCTTCAGGTCTGACATTTTCAATTATCAGTTTTAACTTCAAAGCCTTATGTTAGGCAAACCCTCAATGATATCTCTAGGGGCAATTCATCTGCCTTGAAATTGAGTTGTTTATTGTGAGGCAAATGCATGGACACTGGAAACAGCATTGAAATAATCAGTCTCAATTAATTCCCTTTATATTAAAATGATGTTAAAGAGTTATTAATCTTCCTGATTTTCAGTTTCTTCATCAAAAAATGTCAGTAACAAAATGATATCTTCAAATGGCAGTGTTGTCGGGTTTAAATAATGTGATGCTTTTTTAGGTACAGTTAGATCTGCTGTAGAGATCAGCATTGTTCCAAGTTTTGGCAATTTGACTTTCCTATCCACAGTCAATGCCAGAGAAGGCTCACTCATTCCTTGTTGTGTCCTCATTAAAAGAACTGAATTCATGTTTTCTCACAGCAGATGTGGAAATATCATTGGAGATACAAAGGTATTTAATGTCTTGTATTTGTATACGAAGTAAATTGGCTAAAATCTTTGATATTATGATGCCTGTAAAATACCTCTCACTTATTAGGAAACTGAGAAAACTTCTTTTCCATAAATTATTATAAAATGCTTGTTTTATGGGAAAAGGCTTGCAATAATAATGATTCCTTACATTAGAAAGTAAAATTGTAGGCTATTACCCTCTCCAGAGAAAATATAGAAATTTCAGCAATCCAGAACCACACATTTTCCTGCTTATATTACTTCCTTTTAATGAGCTGTATAGTACTCTACTGTCTGGAAGTATAAGAGATAATGCAATCTTTTATATTCCAGCACATACATATTTCCAACTTTTACAATTAGATTATGCATCAAAAAATAAATAACCTTATGCATATGCAATTTTATCAAGGACTTATATTAAAGAGCAATTTTTGATTCGCAGCAAAATGAAAGTTATGTACAGATTTTTCCTATATACCCTATCCCCCCGTGCCCTACACATGCATAGCTTTCTCCATTATCAACACCAACAACAGAGTGGTACATTTGTTATGATGATGCAAACACACTGATGCATCATATTCACACAAAGTCTATAGTTTACAATTCAGCAGTCACCAACCTTACGGACCTCACCGACAACCAGTCGTCTGTGAATCACCAGTTGCATGATAGTTTACTCTTGGTGTTGTATATTCAAATATATAATGGTATATATTCATCATTATGTTATTATATATTTTTACTGCCCTCGATGCCTCTGTGCTATACTTATTCATCACTTCATCACCCTACCATGATAACCACTGATCTTTCTACTGTCCTCATAATTTTCCCTTTTCCAGAATATTGTATTGGTGGAATTATACAGTATGTAGTCTTTTTCAGATTGGCTTAATTCATTTAGTAACATACATTAAAATTCCTCCATGTCTTCATGGCGTGATAAATCATTTGTTTATAGGTCTGAGTAACAGTCCATTGGATGGATGTACCAGATTTACTTATCCACTCACCTAATAATGGACATTTTGATTGCTTCCATGTTTAAGAAATTATGAATAAAGCTGCTCTAAACATTAGTGTGCAGGGGGGGGGGCATATATTTTCAACTCCTTTGGGTGAATACCAAAAAGCAAGATTACTAGTTTGCATGGTAAATAAGTTTAGTTTTCTAATACATCACCAAACTGTTTTCTAAAGTGGTTGTACTATTATGCATCCCCACCAACAGTGAAAGAGAGTTTCTGTTGCTCCATATCCTTGCAAGCATTTGCTATTGTCAATGTTGTGTATTTTGCCCACTCTAATAGGTATGTGGTGCATTTCTTTTTAGAATTTCATTCCTCACAGATGTATCAGGGGAGCACAACCTCACATGCTTATTTGACAGCTGTATACCTCTTTTTGTGAGGTGTCATTTTAACACCAAGTAGTTTGTTTCCATATTTCTGAATTTTAAGAGTTCTGTATATTTTGGTAACAGTCCTTTAACCAATGAATCTTTTGAAAATATTTTCTCCCAGTCTATGATTAGTCTTCTCATTCTCTGAATATTGTCCTTTGCACAATAAGAGTTTTTATTAAGTCTAGCTTATAAATTATTTCTTCTGTGGATCAAGCACATGACCATTCCCAAAGTCATCTAGGTTTCTCCTATCTCATTCAATAGGAGTTTTATAATTTTCATTTTACATTTAAGTCTGTGACTCATTTTCAGTTATTTTCTATGGTGAGTATAAGGTCTGTATTTACATTTATTTTATTGAATATGGATATCCAAGTTATTCAGGCACTATTTCTGAGAAAACTATCCTTGCTTCACTGTATTACTTTTGCTCATTTGTCAATATCAGTTGACTATATTTATCAGGGTCTGTTTCTGGGATCTTTGCCCTGCTCCATTAATCTATTTGTCTCTTTTGCCACTGATCACTGTGTTGATTATTGAGTTAGTGATAGTAAGCCTTGACGTTGACTAACATCAATCCTCCAACTTTATTCTTCTCGATCAATACTCTGTTATTCTGGGTCTTTTGCTTTTCCATAGAAATTTTAGAATTAGTTTAATAACATCCACCAAAAAAACTTGCTGGGATTTTGACTGAGGTTGTACTGAATCTATAGGACAATTTGGAAATAACTGACATCTTCACAATATTGAGGTCTTCCTATTCATGAACATGAAATATCCCTCCTTTAGTCCTAAGGCTAGTTAAATTAAAATTCACTCCTCGCTTTAGCACTTTTGGTTTGAACTAATTTTGTAGGCCTGAGTATCCACCGTGTATTTTATGTCAGCTTGGCTATACTGACTTCATCTTGTTTTCTTCACTTACTAGTATTCCTCAGACCAATGATAAAATATATAGTTTAGGCCATTGTACCTTGTGGTCTCAATTTCACTCCTGAGCCCTCTCTCTCTCATGATTTTAATATTTGCATACTGAACTTGAGCCCACGTTCCAAAGCTGGCTGCCTGTTATTAATCTGGGAGCTTTTTTAAATATTCATGGTGGTGAATTTGTACTATAGCTTTATGAAATGTCCCCATTGGGGGAAATTGGTAACTCTTAGTACTATTACTTACAGCTTTATGAGAATCCCCATTTACCTAAAAACACAAAACAAAAAACCAACAAGTTTAATAAACCAAATCTCCAATTGAGTTGCATGAGGTTCTAGTGTTGGAAAATATTAAGTGCCTAGGTATATATCTAATTACAGGTTCCAAAACTTATTATTTTCTTTCTTGCTTGGATTCTACTTTTTAACAACTTAGTAGATCGTAAAAAACTTTCACATCTCTTCTCCATTTTAGGGTTCAAAGCACTGTTTATTACTTTATCCCCACCCCATATTTCTGGGTATATCATAAAATCGTCCCAAACCCCCTACTGAGGGAATAATCCTATTGAGAATTATTTGAGTGGCACCTCTCACAAACTATTTTCTAGCCTCTAGGCAGAACACATAATACATCTGCCTTATGTTATTATGAGCCATCTATTTTAATCCCCATCAGGCTCCTCACCAGCAAGCCTTTAAAGCAGATCCCTTAGCTGGGTGAAGGTGGTTGACAAGGTGGGCAGTCTCTAGAGCTGTGGGCTTCAGGCACTGCGTTCTGTATCACCGAGGTTGGGTAGGGAATCTATGGTCTGGCCCTGGTACACAGCATTGCTGTGAGGCCTGCTCCATGTCAGTCCTTCCTGAAATGTTTCTATATTCTGAGGAAAAACGGAGATTCCAATGTGCGTATTTCTTTAAGTGGTGTCAGGCTTCTGAGGGCTGAGCCAAGGGATAGGAATGAACAGCTCCTTCTTAAGTGTGCTGAGGATGGTCCTGCTGTTTCTCTCAAGTCTCTAGGAGTCCTTCTGTTCACTTTTATGTCTCCTTGATCCTGTGGTTTGGGGTAAGAAAAAAGGGAATCTAGGGAAGTGGTAATTCCTCCACGTGTAGGAAACTATCACTTAGAGAAAATTTCTCTCTTTGTCAGGTGTTGTAAACACGTATTTTGGGTTTCTTCTACAGACTTGATAAAATGTCTTTCTTCTCATCATGGATCAAAGTTATTTTTATCATGGTCTTGGCATTTCCTCTTTATTCTGGTGAGTACTTTTCCAATTCTGGATGAAGCAATTTATACATCTTAAAAAATGCAGGAGACAACTTCTATTATCTTGAAAAGGAGCAGCTTGTTTTATTATGCTTGTAATACTTAAACTGGCAAAATGAATGTGCATGCTACAAACATCATATTAAAAATTACATCAGTGGATTGCTTTTTCTCATTTCTACCTTAGAGAGATGGAGGCAGAGAGCTTGGATAGAATGAGCAGTAGAACTTAGCTTTTTGTTCATTTATGACTAAAGGTATTTACTTAGTACTATTTTGGAGGTCAGATTCCATGTTTGCTAAATGCAGATTTAAGGGGGTAATGTTGTCTTTTACATGTAATATTCCAATATCATTTGTCATTTGCCAGTTCTCAGTGCACTAGAATCAAAACTTTGTATAATGGGAGAAATCATTGATCCCTTTTGCTGGAAATTTATTTTCCTTTAGTGCAAGGAGACTGATGAATTTGAGTAAAGTAGCTGTGAGTTGTTGAACAGACCCTGATATTAGAACTGGGTACTATTTCATTAAGTAGTAATTAATTTCTTCATGTTACATGACTTTATGCAAGGCATATTAAGTGGCATTAAGCCAGGCATTGCCTTTTCTTACTAGCATGTCTCTTTTATTTTTAAAAGAATAAAAAGAGTTTTGGTATTTTCAAGGAGAGACTAGTGATTACTGCACAACAATAAAATTACTTTTCACAGGTGAGAATAATTTGAATTATATTTCTAATTTGGAACTATTTTGTGAACTTACTATTTTGATATTATCACAAAGGCTCACCTCAGAAGTTGGGGGTCCTGAGTAGGCAATTTGTGTAGCATTTTGCTACTAAAAACAATAGAAAGGTTCTTTCTACCAGAGACTGATTGTTTTCCCCTCTTCTTCTAATTTTTACATTTTCTTTTGTGTGCTCATTACAGAAACTTCTTTAAAACCTCCTCCAAGAGAACAGGTAAGTAAGAACAAATAATTTGGAAATTGAAAATGGCAATCTTTCATTTTTTTTTATACTTTAAATTTTAACAGCAAATTTCACCAAACAGCCTGGGGGATGTTCAGTGGGTTAGTGTCAACCTACCAAACAATAATTCCCTGGTTCAATTCCTGGTAGGGCACAGACCAAGGTTGGGGGCTAAATCCCCAGAAGCCATGGATAGGAGGCAGCTGATGGATGTATTACTCTCTAGTTGATGTTTCTCTCCAGTCCCTCCCCCTACTGTTATTTAAAAAGTAATAGTAAATTCACTAAAAAATGTGGAACAAAATGACCCTTCAAATTTTTGTAAACTGTGCTATTATTGCCGTAACTGGTTTGGCTCAGTGTATAGAGAGTCGGCCTGTGGACTGAAAGTTCCGAGGTTCGATTCCGGTCAAGGGTATGTACCTTGGTTGCGGGCACATCCCCAGTGGGGGGGTGTGCAGGAGGCAGCTGATCGATGTTTCTCTCTCTCATCGATGTTTCTAAATCTCTATCCCTCTCCCATCCTTTCTGTAAAAAAATTAATAAAATATATTTTTTGAAAAACTGTGCCATTATTATGCAAATTCAAGAAAAAAATTAGCTAACCATATAAACCCTCTTGGTATTTTGAACAAGATAAAAATATCCCATTATTTCAAAGATTCCTTATTAGGTATCCCTGTTATTTGCAAGCATCTGATTAAGGTTACAGTGTGTTTGAGGTAGAATTGTGTATCCTAGCGAAACAAGATGGTTATAAAAATTATCCACTTAAAGGTAGATACAATAATAACTTTCATATTATATAGAGGGGAGAAGCATCTAAATTGATGAACTTTACAAAGACATTTCAAATGCCAGTCACATAAGGATACATTCCATATTATTTATCTATGTAAATTACCAATACTGCCATTACTAACCCTATTTTATATAATATAGATATGTAGATAGATATGCAAATATTAATATATGTGGATCTTTACATATGTGCTGATTATCTGAATGTATGATTCAGTACTAGTAAGACCATTAAGAAATATAAAGAAATTATTAAAATTCCATTGTACTGTTCCTTGTGGTATGAAATGGGGGAAATCTGATGCAGGTATGAGGAGAAGTGAGATGAGAGTGGCTACATTATAAAAATACATTCAAATTTGTCTTATTTTTTAAAAAAGATATTGGGTTTGTAAAAATATATCAATAATATTTTATGACTAAGTGGATGGTTTATTTTCAAGCCTCAATACAGAATATGTTCATTCCATTTTGATGCAAGGCATTTTGTACTAAGATTAAAGAACATTTTATTGAAAAAGTTCATTATCTGACAATTTTATGTTCTTCTTTTTGTTCAACAGCCAGACTGTGAAGCATTTAAGGATCGATTACATGTATGCACCAACAAAATGGACCCAGTCTGTGCATCCAATGGTCGTACTTACCACAATGGATGCATTTTCTGCACTGTATTGTTGTAAGAACACAAGGCTGTTTATTGGCTCTTACCCAGTAATGAAGAAACCAGCAAAAAAGGATAGGAAAACCCATGTTTGGACAGCCTGGGCACAGTATATATGGAAAAAAAATTATTCAATCTCAGTAAATGCCACAGAAACACATTGGCACCTTTCATGGCAGTTCTCATTTGCTAAAGCAGCTTGGCATTTGACCTCTCATATAATGGCTGGATATTCAGCAAATGTACAAATCAATTAACTTAATTTAATCATTCTATCACCAATACATTGAATGCTGAAGTCCACATGATAACTGATAATCTCTGAGATGTAGCTTCAAGCTACAGGGAGCATATTTGAGCAAGAAAACCTACTTGACAACAGAAATTTGAAATCCATCACAATAGGGATATTCATACTAAGAAGGGGCTCCTCTAATGGTCCACCTGATCTCCTGTACCCCATGATAGACTGACAACCTTCCTTAGAGAGCAAGGCAATCTAAGACACTTCTATGCAACCTCCTTTCCTATATGCTTCACTCCAAAGGAGTTTGCAGTCTAAAGGTTCAGACAGCCTTGCTAGCTGCCTCATTTTCTCACAAATTTATTTCCTCTTATTTGATACTACAAATGGGGTCTATTTCTACAGAACCACCAAAACAAACCTCTGCTCTCCCCAGTATGGGGGGTTCCAAGTTTATAGCCAAGAATGACTATGTAGGAAAAGTCAAGCAGCCCCACATCAGGGAAGGATATGTGCAGGGCTGGGAAGCACATGGGTTCCAACTGTGGAGGTGCAACAACAGCCTGTCCACACCATGCTCCTCATTTAGAAGCAGTTAGTGCAATAACCAGGCAATTTTAAATGCTGTTTATAATAACGTCTCTTTCTTTCTGTTTTTATTTACAGAGATATTGTAACACCATTTAAATTTTCCCATTATGGAAAATGCTGATTATGCCTGAGCTAAAAACTTCAATGGCTTTTAGGGCAATCTTATTTTGCAGTGGATTCTACAGCCAGAGTCTTTCCAATCCAGGTTTTAAACTCCTAGGTGACCAGACAAAGCCTTCCATGATATACAAGATGGGATATAGGGTGTTGAAAATTGTTTCCAAATCTACGAACCTTTGATTGGTTTTCTTTCTTTGTTCAAGTATTAAATAGCAAATGAAAAACTACCCTAATAATGTGTTTGATAATATAAAACCTAATTTACAATCGTAAATATTCCAACCTGTGCAATGTTAAGTAATACCTTTATTGAAATACTCCCTTTTTTGATTAGTGGGTTAAAGCACATGACGACTTTTCGTAACTATAAGTACATACTTTCAAAGATGAAAAGGTAACACATTTCTGGGGTGTTCAATAAAAGTGCAGACACTTGGGCTCCTCCTTAACTGAAAGAATCAAAACCTCTAGAAGAGGGATCTAGGACTTGAGTTATAACAAGTACCCAGGGTCAATCTTCCAATCATTAATATTAAGCAGTATGGATTTCTATTCTAAAACATAGGTCATTATAATTGAATGAACTGCAAAGTCTAGTCAAAGATATTTTATGATTTCTGAGGCTTGGGGGAAATTTATTTTTTATCATTGCCAAATCAGTCAAGACAAAGGTTGTGAGTGTACATGATATAATCTAGATCCAAGGCCCTTATTAGATACTAGAGGCCCGGTGCACAAAAATTTGTGCACTCGGGGAGGCCGGGGGGTGGGGTGGGGTCCCTCAGCCCGGCCTGTTCCCTCTCACAGTCTGGGACCACTCAGGGAATGACCACCTGCAGGCTTAGGCTGGCTCTCCAGGGGATTGGGCCTAAGATGGCAATCAGACATCCCTTTAGCAGCCCGGCAGCCCTCGGGGGATGTCCACTTGCCAGCGGGGAGCAGTCCTAAACTGCAGTCGGACATCCTCAGCGCTGCTGAGGAGGCAGGAGAGGTTCCCACCACCACCGCTGTACTGGCAGCCAACAGGCAGGCTTGTGGGTTAGCAGAGCTCCTCCCATGTGAGAGCGCCCTGACCACCAGAGGGCAACTCCTGCATTGAGCGTCTGCCACCTGGTGGTCAGTGTGTGTCATAGTGACCAGTCATTCCCGGTCTTTCTGCTGTTAGGGTCAGTTTGCATATTACCCTTTTACTATATAGGATAGAGGCCTGGGTGGGGGCCGGATGGTTTGCCGTGAAGGGTGTCCCGGATCAGGGTGTGGGTCCCGCTTGGGTGCCTGGCCAGCCTGAATGAGGGGATGATGGCTGTTTGCAACTGGCCACAACCCCTTCAGGGTGGGGGTGCCCACTGGGGTGCCTGGCCAGTCTAGGTGAGGGCTGAGGGCCATTTTCAGACTGGCGGGTGACTGAAGCTCCCAACCTCTCCTTTTTTTCTTTTTTCTTTTTATTCGGGGATTTATTTACCTTCTATGGCTGTCACAGGAGCTGAGAGCTGGCTTTAGCTCTGAGGCTCGGCTCCAGCTCTGAGACCATGGCTGCTGAAAGCAGGTATCTGGGATTTGTTTGGCTTCTATAATTGAAACACTGTTGCAACTCCAGCTCTGAGGCCCGGCTGGCTGAAAGCAGGTTTCTAGGGATTGTTTAGCTTCTATAATTGCAACATAGTTACTTAGAGTGCAGCTCAGATGCCGGCAGCAGCAGGCGGAGAACCTTGGCTTCCTCCATCATTGGAGCAAGCAAGCCTCCTATTCGCTTCAGGTGCCTGGCTGCCGTCCGCCATCTTGGTTGGCAGTTAACGTGCATATCGCCCAGATTAGCCAATGGGAAGCGTGTCAGAGGTATGGTTAATTACCATTTTTGTCTATTATTGGATAGGATATGACTTGCAAACGTTTTCTATGATTTTCAGGTTGTCTTTTTTTACTTTATGGATGTGCTTTTGCTGCAATTTTTACAAATTTAATTAATTCCAACATATCTACTTTTTTTTTCTTTGTTACTTGTACCTTGGTTGCTCGGTAAAAGAAACTGCTGGGTAATCCAAGCTTAAGAAGATCTGCAACTATTTTTATTGAAAATTTTAACACAAAATTTATCAAAACGTAGGACAGAATGGTTTTCATAAATAAAAGTACATAATTTCTTAAACCACGTTCAACAAAGAGAATCTAGCGAGCAAGGCAAATCCATTTGCCATAACCTACATTATCTACAAGACAATAATAACCATATGTTTTTACCCCAAGACTGGACTAAGAGACTATCAGATGTGGTTGTAAACAAGAATGTAATAAAGGGAAAAGAATGTTAGAGTAGAATAATTCATCCTCATCAAAGTAATAAAAAAAAGTGTACCACCCAATTATCAATTTAATGTTAAAAATTAACGATATTCATATATTCACATAGTGGAATGTTACACAGAAGTGAAAATAAATGAACTATATACAACACTAAATGTCAGTGTCTATAAAGTTCACAAAGGAGTATAAAAAGCAAGTCATGAAGAATACAGATGTTACTGTTTCCCTTGTGTAAATTACTAAGACATCTAAAATTAAATGTATATATAAACACATGTATAAATATGACATACATAAATACACATATATGGCATATCAAACCTAAACATATATATACACACACACACACACACACACACACACATATATATATATATAAATACTTGTATAACTATGAAATACATAAATCCTATATAATAAAAGCGTAGTATGGAAATTGTCCCCTCAACCAGAGTTCTTCTGGAAGTTGGACCAGGAGGCAGGACGGCTGGGGGAAGGGAGCAAGGCACTGGCACTGGCAGGAGGCCAGGGGAAGGGAGGGAGGCCCTGGCCAGCAGCGGCGGTGCCAGGAAAGGTGGCAGGCAGCAGGCAGCCAGGGGTAAGGGTGAGAATTTCTAAATTGGGCCTCTAGTCCATATGTATGTAGTGAATGTATGTACTGATCTTCGGGGAATCTATAGATGAATATAGGAAATAACAATCAGAAAATTCAGTTTGGTGATGTCTTCTGGTAAGGGGGGTGAGAGAGATATGATCTATTGGGGGAAGATCATGGATGTAGTTATGGATTAGCTATACACCTATATAAAAAGACTTTAAACCAATTAATCACTCTTTTCTTGATAGGAGGCTATATATTTTAATACTAATAATTTTAACAAAAATTAATAGAAGCTCATATACCAAATGCTACAATAGTTGCCTCTTGGTGTAATTATATGATTGCTTTTCCAGCTTTCTGAATCTTTCACCTTAAAAAGGAACATGTTTTTACTATAATAAGGGGAAAATGGCAGCCAAACAAAGCAACAAAATATCTCAAGTTTTTTAACACTAAATAATCTAATTTTACCTACTGAACATTCCTAATTCCAAACAGTAAGAGACAGTAAAATGTTCCCTCCATTTCCCAGTCTGATACTCTGAGCTTTATTAAGATCCAAACAAGAGCAGAAAGCTTCCTGGGTGGTCTCTCAATCAAGCTAAATGTCTGCATGCACAGCCATTATTGCTATCCATCCCACCATGCTCCCTGAACTACATAAGGGGCATATAAAATAGGCTGTTCTGAATCTGCTTGTTCCTTTACAAAAATCCTCTAACACCTGTGTATAGCAACTATCAACAAACTATACAGGACATGGACTATTGGGAAGTTTTGTGGTTTGGTGATGATCACCAAAACCTTCTCTTCATTCAAACTTAGGACACTTGGTTAGCACACAACTGGAAATCTTGTCCAACTTAATGTTTTCCATTTATCCAAGTGGTAGTGAATCAATTGTGCATATGGCACCATTCTGGTTATCACCAGAAAGCTTAGAATCTTCCAATGAAGTCTGTACCAAAAGTGCAGGGAACTAAGTGTCTTGATGGAGATATTCATAGGAGGGTGTAAAGGAGTTTGGAAATTGAACTTTTTCTCCCATCTGTATGATAAAAGAAATGGCCATTATTGACTACTGGGTATCAGTTGATTACAGAACTCATATTCGTGGAGGCACAGGATGCCATAATACAAAAAT